AAACGATCTTCTATCAAACAGATCTTTTGTACGTCATGAAAAACGAGAACCATGCGAGTTGTGTTTGAGCATCAAACAGCCAAAGAAGATTGTAGAGTTCGAGTTCAGTCGCCTTATTTCGCGTCTTCTTCCTGCTGTGTTGATGTTGAAAAGATTCTGCAGCCCGATTCCAGACACATACAGATAAAAAATCCACTTTACTCCTTTAATGACTGTTTAAACACGACACGCCACAAGATCTAAATGAGATTTGAAAAGAAATTCTGCTGATAACTTTTGGAAATCGAGAGCTGTATTCTCTTTAAATTACAATGTGAGTGATGATCTCCAGCAGCCCTCACCGTGTTTGTGGACTCCGATGAGCAGAGACTTGTCGGCGTCGGCGTCCCACCACGTCACCGGGATCTCGATGTAGTCGATGTCGGGCAGCGACACCTCCAGTTTACTGTCAACACAAACAATCGCGTCAGTCAACATTTTAGAAGTGTCATCGCGACTCCATCCGTCTGATCGCGGGCGTGTTTGCCTGCTACCTACCTGGCAGGTATCCCCTCCAGAGCCTGAACGGCAGCTTCGCCCAGAACCTCCACCTTCAGGTAGTACAGCATCCGCACCCTCAGCAGCACCCTGAGGAGTCAACGAGGGAAGGTTGTATCACAAATAAACCCCCAAAAACATCATCTGAATGAGGTCGGAGCTGATTTTAAAGCTAAGCTGGAGATGTTTTCACGTGCAGGAGCATCTTTTCAGTGCTTAACAAACTCTCTCTCTCCTACTCAGGTGTCATTTGCTGCAGCTCTGGTTGAGTTAATCACACGAGTGTTTACTATTTCGCTTGTTAACCCTCCGAACTCCAGAATCCGCCGACATATTGACATTTAACAAAAGAAAACGAAGGAATGAAGCGTTCAAGGTGACAGAAAGGTGCAACTGAAGATGGAAGGGACTGAAAACAGAAGAAATCAACCTTCTGAACCCTAAAATCTGCCTCAAGGTCTAAAAGATGTGTTAATCTTTAAATATGTCAACAAAATTCCACCTTTTATCAAAGCTAGAAACTGAAAAAGCAGCGAGAATCTTCAGATTTCCAACTTTCAAACGGTCCTTAAACTATCCGTGACGTGCTGCTGTGTTGTGAAACTTAACTTGAACACTTTATTCCTCACGTCTCAGATTTTAAAAAAATCGCCAAAAATGAACCCTTGGAACTCAACAGATTCTGCAAAAAACTAAAAAATTCTGCATTCCTCGCCACAAATAAAAAGCTATTGGTCGAACAGCTGGGATTTGTAGTTTTGCGACAAAAATTCAGGGACTTTGTCGGCTGAGCAAATAGTATAGAAACTAATTAAAAATGAAAGCAGCAGAATATCTATCGCATGTCGAGCCTCCTTTTTTTTGTCAGTAGCGTCTGTGGGCAGCTGGAAAAACATTGGACATGTTGATGCCAGATATTTTTCCCAATTTTTGTAAAATAAATAATCAAATAAATCACAATTCCACCTTTTTTTCTTTACCATTTCTGGCATTATATCTGAGTCATGCTACACCGAAAACATTTCTGAGTTCTCTTTACATCTAGTCATGACTGTTCTGTTTTCATAGAGGTGCAGGACTTTATACTGCAATGAAAAATGAGCCCACAGTGAAGAAAAATGACACAGGAGCAAAAAAATACAACATCCAGAAACTACTGCTTGGAGTTCAGCAGGTTAATTCATTGTGATCACAGACCTTCAGTAAAACTACAACTAAAAGCCAAGCAAGCTAATAAACAATTAAACACTGTAAATAAACACCAACACCAAACACATAAACTACTGACTCTTTATAGTCGCTGTTATTCTGAGTTGCTACACATATATCAACAATAACAAAATCAACTGTAAACTAGCGTTAAAACGCCGCTAGCGAACTGACTTGTTGCAGTGCTGCTTCAGGTGCTTCTTGTAGCTCTCGTCCTGCAGCACCACCTCGGGGTTGCAGTGCACCAGCCAGTCGGCGTTCTTCACCTCCGGAACGTTCAGCTGGTTCTTCAGCTTCTTGCCCTTCCTGCCGCGAGGAACCGGAGCCGACAAACCTGAGGGGAAAAGAAAAACGGCTGAATGCTCGATTACAAGATAGCAAGGTAACACTGCATATCTCGTTTTTTTACCTTTATGCTATGTATAAAAAACTACAGTGTGTTGCATTTAAGAAATCAATGAACTGCTAAGGAGGAAACAACATTTTATCAACAAAAACATTTTGAACGCCACAAAAAAAAAAAAAAAAAGAGACACTGGGTTGAAGGTTACTTTCAAATAAAATACTCAACATCTATTTAAATCCTCCTCGTATGTACGAAATAAAAAGCCAAACTTAAATTAAAGCAAAGTAAAGATGCCATCTGGTCGTCCTGCTGACTGCAGCGGGGACTGCTGACCAGACTGCTGACCGCCTGTGAGCGCTCCAAAAGTCTCCAAACCACCAGAAAGAGTCGCTAGATGTGTCGCTAGTCGCTTTGGAGGATTTGTAAAGTCACCAAGTTGGTTGTGACGCATATTTTGAGCGAACTAAAACAAAATACATTGACATTAAATACTCGTTATTTAATTTCCAAAGCCACTCATGGGGCTCTGGAGCCGCGGGTTGCCCACCCGTGGACTAGTCGATTAATCTAAAGGGGAAGTTTTCCTCAAAAAAAAGCAAGAACAGTTCAGGCTTGTCACAAATGATGCAGAAATGTTAAAAACCAGCTATTCAGATGCAGTCAGATGAACAGAAAGGTCTGCTCTAGACGTTATCACGGGTGGGATGCTAACCGGAGTGGTTGAGCAACGCCTGGTCCTGGCCCTCTTTGGTTGGCGCGATCAGATCCCAGATGAAGCTCTTGATCTTGTCGTCGCCTTTGTAGTGTCTCAGGCAGTAAACCAGCAGAGCCCTGCGAGGAGACGGGGGAAGGAAGGTTTCGCTTTTTAATGGCTGCCTCTGACGCCGGTGACAACTTGGATTTGGTTTATCGAACTCTCTTACCTGCAGATCACCTCCATGTCTCGTTCCGCCAGGTGCCACTTGAAGCGACCGTGGTTCAGGATGTCCTTCCATCGACCCCAGCTGGAAAGAGAGACGAGACGTTTCAACGAGGGGTTTGTTTACGGTGTTGAAACACAGATTTAAGTGTGTGATCACTTCTTGTGTTTTGTCGTCGTGCTTTTTTCTTTTTTTGCAGCTTTGGCTCGTTTATTGTCACACTCGAGCTCGCAGGGGGGAAACCAACCTTGTGTACAAAAAAGATTACGAGAAGCAGAAGCAGCTCGGTGTCGGAGTAGTAAGATGTCATCGCGCAAGATTTCTGGCTGCGAGGTGTGAGGAATGTGTGGGATCGTGCTGTTTAGAAAGAGAGGCTTTTTTTTCTTTTTGTATCGCACTTGGCCGAGGCAGCCGTCGGGATAAAACCGTCGCTTTCGGTGTCACTTTGATTCTCTGCAGGTGAGTTTGAAAAGGAATTATGCGTCTGTTGCTTTCTGCAAATTGAACTGAAGAGTCTAAAGGTTTTAATCCTCTGAACCCAAAGCAGTCTTTTCTATTTTTTCTTGCTCCTGTCACAGCATAAAGTCCTGCGATTCAGAAATGTGTTACAGCTATAATGCCGTAAAGCCATTAAAAACACAACTTGATTTTTTTTTTTTTTTCAATTTTCTGCAGTTTAGCCTTAATTCCTTCCAGATTTTTTTGTCATGTGATTGTTGGTCGCAGCTGAGTCACTTTTGGCTTTTCTGCTGCATCGAGGAGTGCAGAATTTTTTGTTTTTAACAAAATCTAATTCACAAAAATGGTTTGATTTTGGCTAATTTTTCAATTAGATTTTGAATAAATATCACAGTTTCAAGCTCATGTTTTGGTTTAACATCCAATGATCGTCTCTGTTTTTACAGGTTCTGGCTGATAAATGGGGGAATTTGAATATATTTAGATATAAATATAGACGAAAACCCAACAAATCCGAGGTTTCCCTGGTGGCTCCACATGTTTCCAGATATTTTACTAAGTAGTTTTTATCCTCTCTGCCCTGCGTCACCCTTTGGCTTTTCAGTTGCGCTGAATGTTTAGTTATCTACGAGCATCTTGTTATTTTTGGCAAACGTTTAAATGAGACACACTTGATTTTGATTAAATATCACAATTTCAAGCTTAGATTTGGTTCATTTTCCCAGTTGGAAGTGTCGGAAAGCTCAAAATCTGATAAATTTTTCCTGTTTTTACACTTTCTGGTTGATAATTGTTGGAATTATTGTAATTTTTTAGAGACAACATGCCCTTTAAAACCTGCCGGCTGGTTTGGGGGTTCGGAGGAAGGGTTGTGTCATAAACAAACCGAACAAACCCCCAGAAAACACCAGGTTATTTAAGTTGGAGCTGGTTTTGGAGGCACATTGTGATGTGAGCGCTGTGCTTTCACATGCAGATGAAGTGTCTTTCCTACTTAAGTGTTAAGGATATTAAAAATGTACTGTAGTTCATTTACTGTAGCTCTTAGTGTGGTTCTGGTTGAGTTAATCACAATCGACCATAAATCATCATAGCAGTCTTTATTATTGCACTTTTTAACCCTCGAACCCCCCAAAATCCAGACTTTTAAACACCAGAAAGACTCCTCGCTTTATTCTGTTTCTTGCTTGTAAAAAAAAAACAAGAAATTGGGCTAAGCTGCAGTCAGACTTATTCCTACAAAGTCTCAGGTCTTACCCGAAGATCAGCAGGTTCTTCTCCACCCGGAAGCACTCGGCACGAAGGTACCGCCGGCTCCGGTCGCCCAGCCGACGAGTCCGACAGGGCCGCTCCTCGGAGTCGCTGTCCAGCTCCGAGAACTCCATGAGCTCGTCGTCCTCGAAGGAGTTGTAGTGACGGGTCTGTTTCCTGACCCGGGGCGTGTCGATCACCAGCGACTCCTGCAACAATGAAAACGAAAGCAGTTGGAACGTGAGACAGACTGAGAGGACGGAGGCTGCAGGTGAGCTCAGGCAGTTCTCTCCTTTCTCCCTCTGTGGTGCAAAAGATTTTAATTGTTTTGTTGCTCATTTTGTGTTTTTATGGTCAATTTGCGTGTTTTTGAAGTCATCTTGTGTCTTTATGTGGAGATTTTCCATCTTTTTGTGCTTATTTTGAATCTTTTCGTGGTGATTTTGAACGCCTTTGTGCTCATTCTGCATCTTTTGGTGGTAATTTTGCTTTTTTATGGTAATTTTCTGAGATTTTCTGTCTTTTTATAGTTATTTTGTGTCTTCATAGTTGATTTTCTGTCTTTTTGTGCTCACTCTGCATCTTTTTGTGGTGATTTTGCATCTTTATGTGGTGATTTTGCATCTTTATGTGGTGATTTTGAACCCTTTTGTGGTGATTTTGAACGCCTTTGTGCTCATTCTGCATCTTATTGTGTACATTTTGCATCTTTTCATGGTGATTTTGCATCTTTCTATGGTTATTTGGATCTTTATGTGGAGATTTTTCTGTCTTTCTGCGCTCATTTTGCATCTTGTGGTGACTGTGAACCCTTTTTGCTCACTTTGCATCTTAATGTGGTGTTTTTGCATCCTTTTCTGGTGATTTTGCACCTTTTTGTGACAATTTAGCATCTTTTTGTGCTCATTTTCATCTTAATGTGATGTTTTTGAACCCTTTTCTGGTTATTTTGCTCCTTTTTGTGCTCATTTTGCATCTTTTTGTGCTAATTTTACATCTTTTTAATCCTAAATCTGTGTTTTAGGAGAGATCTGAAGTTTTAATCCTCTGGTGGCGGTAAAAACAAAAACAAAAAAGGAAAAGAAAAAGGAAAAGGCAGACAAAGAAGCAAACACCCGCTGGATTCACGGAGGGTTTCAGTTATTAAGGATTCACGGCATGAGTCACGGTGCACAGACACACACCTACACACCAGGCACCAAGACAGTAGCAGTGTTTGTTGTGCAATCTGCTTCATTCATTAAGGCGGCCCATCTGTCGGGAAGGAGAGGAAACGAGAGGAGAGGGAAGGAAAGGAAAGGAAAGGAAACGAAGCGTATCCTTCCTTCTTACCTTCATTTTCATCTTGTCCTCGTTTGCTCTTTTCCCAGTTCAGCAGTTTAAACCTCCTTTGCCTCCATATTTGTCTCCATGCACTCAAATTAAATCTATTTTTTTTCCTCACGTTGTTTCCATTTTACTTTCTACATCCACTATACGATAACATATTTACTCTTCTTCCTTCTTGTTACTAAATCAGATCATTTTGTGCAGCGTAACAACTTTATAACGCCATAAATAATTTAAAAACATCAAAATGAAAAGGTAGATTTATTTATTTACTTTACAAAAATAGAAAAAATCCTGGAATCAGCATCATTTTTGCAGAACTTTGTGGGTTTTTTTTACAGAATCTGTTTCGTGCAAATGGTTTATTTTACATTTACATCATCTACCTCATGTATAGAAGGTATTGATACCTGTATTAATTGGTAATTGCGCTTCATTTTGCACTAAAACCCATGGTTCGCCTTAATATCTACAGTTAAAGACTCGCTTTCTGTTCTGTTGCTCTTGTTTAAATCCATATTGTGCGTGAGTACTTTAAGAGCCGAGATAAAACATTTAAATATTTATCAAATAAAGGTGATTCAGATTTTTGTCCAATTTATAACCAACACGTGTAGAACAAAGTGATTTTTATGAAGTATCGTCATTTAAAGCAAAGATTTGGTTAAATTCTGCAAGTTCAAGGACCTTCGGGAGGTTAAAAATCCAACAATTCTTGCTGTTTTTGCAGTTTCTCGCTTCAATAAATGCTGTAATTTTAGATTTTTGGTTCAAAATAAGGTGCTTTTGACACTTGCCGGTGGCTTTTTGGTTTCAGAGCTGATGTTTCGCTTGACGTTTGCTTTTCCTCCTGTCGATTAAACCTTTTAGCTTCTCTCTGTCAATTCCACTCCTTGATTTTATCAATCACGCCTTCACTCTTGTCTTTCATCTCTTTTCTTTGGAACTCCTCTCTTTCCTCTTTCCATCTTCTCCTGCATTCGTCTGTAAATCCCTCCCTCCCTCCGTTCGTACCTTCTCCGACTTGGAGTCGATCTCCACCTCGGCGATTTTGGCCCATTTCTGCCAGAAGTTGGGGTCGTCCAGAGAAATGTCAGTTCTGTTCCCGGAGGAGATGAAGCTGGCCTGAGGAAAGAGAAGCGGACAGACGTGGTGAGAGGAAAGAACTGGTTGATGTTAACTGGGGCTTTTTTCATTTTATATTTTTTCTGAAGGAGGCTGGCATTTAATCAAATGTTTGGACTCCAGCTGCCAACTGCTGAGGTTTAAACACAAATATTTAGCGTCTCCGCATTTGATCTCGTTGCCAAAATATTCAAAGGGTGTTTCCCTCCCCAACAAAAAAACATCTGAGCTGCGAAATTAAACTCTTTGGCAAAAAGCTGTCGTATTTGAGGCCTTAAGTTTGAGGAATGAGCGTGAGGGTTTCCACCTTAGCGAACGTGGAGCCTTTCCCCTCCGACTGGATGGTGATGGTCTGAGTCCGTCTCTGGAGAATCTGATCGATGTCCTCCTCGCAGAACTTGGAGCCCTCGTCCTCTTCGTCCATCAGCGCGCCGTACGCTCCTTTCTTCAGCAGATCCTCCACTTCGAGCTTCGACAGCTGCTGCACCTGCAACGACGCGGCTCAGAAATGACGCTCGCAATCCGGACGGTGACTCACGCTGCGGGAAACTCAATAACGCTAAAAAAAAAGAGAAGAGCTCATCTTTACCCCGTTGAGGCTTCCTTTGCGGTTGATGTCTTGGAGGACGGCCTTGTCCAGCCCGAGCTTCAGACTGGCCTTGTCGAACATCTCCCTCTCGTAGGAGTTCCTGGTGATGAGCCGGTAGACTTTCACCGCTTTGCTCTGACCGATGCGGTGGCAGCGAGCCTGAGCCTGCAGCGGGAAAAGAAAACGTCAGCGCGACTTGTTGAATAGAAAACAGTGGCAAAGAAGCTTTATGGGCTTAAACTCGAGGAAAAAAACACGTCAGACTTAATGGAAATCTGCAGGTTTTGCACAATGTTAGCGGCAGCACTTGTAACTTGAACCAGATTTGCTGTAACTGTATATAACCTGCTGAGAAAATGACCTTAATATTAAAGCTAAAGCCTTCTGATGTCCGTTCTAAACGCTGCTGCTTGTTTAGTTTCCATCATTTAGTGTGACAAGAATTTAACAAAAATATTAAAGCAACCATCTGAAGTGGTTCTTCTAATAAATTACACACTGTCCTACGTTTTAAAGTTTTTTAAAAAAGGATTATAGAATTTATTTTTCCGGATTTGGCAGCACGTTTGCAGATGAAACTGTTTGCACAACTTAATCCCGTTAGTTTAACCCTCTGAAGCCCCAAACACCTGTCGGCAAGTTTGAAAGTCTTTTATCCAACACATTTATCAGAGCAAGAAACTGCAAAAACAAAAGAAAAAAAACCCCACAACTGAATAATTGATTTTTAATTTTCAGATAATGCCTGAACAGTCGATGCACCGTTTGGTTGTAAAATTTGACCAAACCTGAGTTTGAAAATCAAATCAAATCAAGTTTGTTGTCGTTTTGCTGCACATACCAGATGAGAGAGCGTTTCTTCAGGATCCAGTAACTTAAAGCAATTTAAATAAAGAAGTTTTATCTGGATCAGCAGTTCAGCATTCTGACAGCTTGTGGAAACCTCCGGAAACATTTGCCTGAAGTTCAACCAGTTCATGGAGACGGTGTGAGGAGCCCCTGATGATGTTCAGGCTCCTGCTCCTGCATTTAATTTATCAAACTCACTTTATTCTTTAAAAAAAATTGCCAAAAATGAACAATCTGCTGTAACTATATTCCATAAAAAACTAAAAAATTCTGCGCTTCACAGTGCAACCATGAAGCCTTCAGTGGCTCAACTGTGAACAATCGTCAGCTGATAAAAATTCAGGGACTTTTTCGGCTGAAATGCAGGAAGTGTTTACACAGTGCAGGACGGAAACTAAATTAAAAAGGACGTGGTAAAATATCTTTAGTATGTAGAGTTAGGATTTTTTGTGTGGGAATTTGGAAAAATACATTAATTTGCACGTTAATTGAATTTTTTACGTTTTTTTTTTTTTTTTTTGTAAAACGAAGAATTGAAGAATTTTTCTTTATTTGTCTTTTATTTTTTAAATAATTCTGGTATCGTAGCTGCATCATCCTGCCCAGAAGACATGTCTGAGTTCTCTCTCCTTCTAGTCCTGGTTGCTCTGTTTGCACACAGGTGCAGGACTTTATGTTGCGGTAAAAAATGAGCCCACAAGCTGCTTGGAGTCCAAAGGGTTAGCGTGTAAAATCACAGCTTTTTAGAGTGAAAAGTGTCACGTTTATCTGCACGTCTAAATCAAAGCCAGTCATTCTACGAAACCTACAGAGCAAAAAAAATAGCCGCTTTGGAAATGACGATTTAAAAACTTTAAGCTGCACAGTAACACACTAAATCCAGCACGGGACAATTTACTACGATATAGTCGACATTTAACGGGTCAGCAAGGAAGACAAACACCTGACAAACTCTTATTAATGGAAAACCAATCAGATTACAGAGAAGTCTCGGTGCCTTGAAGTCAGAAAACCTCTGAAGTAACACTTCATTATTCAAGGCGTCCTTTGAAGCGCACACTTTGTCATCCAGCGCCGTCCCAGAAGGCCCCGCGAACGCCACTACGTATTAAACAACCGAGACGAGCGGCGACTGAGAGTCAAAGAAGACCCGAGTCGTGTTCTGACAGCGCGGATTGATCTCTCCGGCGCCGTTAGGTTTTCCCACCTGCAGGTCGTTCTGGGGGTTCCAGTCGGAGTCGAAGATGATGCAGGTGTCGGCGGCCGTCAGGTTGATGCCCAGACCTCCGGCTCTGGTGCACAGCAGGAACACGAAGCGGTCCGAGTCCGGCTTGCAGAAGCGGTCGATGGCCGCCTGCCGCAGGTTCCCCCGCACGCGACCGTCGATGCGTTCGTACGTGTAGCTGCAGGAAAAAAAAAATACATTGAGGTATTAATACACTTTTGTTTTTGTTTGTTTTGGATTTAACTAAAATGAAAAACTATGAAAGACTGAATGAAGGTTTCGTTACAGTTTTGTTTTTAATATATTTTTAATTACTGGCAGTATTTCCTCAAATACATTCTTTAAACTCGTCCTGCTTTAGCATATTAACGGCTAATTAGACATTTTTGGGTCTATTATCCAACTTGTTTTCTTTTGTATTTGTTTTGTAATACTTTTGATCATTTAAAGCTGTTTGATCTGACTTAAAATTAAGAACGTGTATCTGTTATATTCTATTTTGTTCCTTTAAAAACATGATTTTAACATTTATTTCATTTGAGCC